CGGGAGGCGTTGGCGACAATAAGCGAGCCGAATCGACGCCGATAGAGCTAGCAGGGGTTTGCCCTGCACGCTGCCTCGGCATGATCTCAAGCGATCCGTGTGAGATAAGGGGCCGGGTGGGGAAGTGTCGACCTGATCATTGGCACTTGCGCAAACTCCGATCCCCAAGAACAGGAAGGCTGCGGTGTACTCCGGCAACATCTAGTCATGCCACGCAATCCGCGTTTGAGACGCGTACCTGATGACATTCGAGTTCGAGTTTCACGCGCGTAAGTGATCAGCTCATCTTGCGGCTCTGCGATACAGCAATTTCTCGCCGTGGCAACTGACACGCAATGCAGATGCGCAGTCTGTAGGGCTCGCAAGAGCCGCTGCATAGCACGAAATGTAGGTGCTTGCGAGAGGTGTGTTGAGAAGGGTGAAGAGTGTGATTTATATGCAGCTGAAGCGTCGGGTTCTCCCGCAACCAGCTCAAATGCCACTGTCAACGGCCAGCAGATGGACAGACATCCTCCTGGCTCTGGACACGAAGACAAGGACGTTGGAACCCCCTCTTCGATGCCGACAGCTCAAGTTAGAGTCTTGGGCCGCCCCGCAGACAGTAATGTCTCACTTGCTGCGCCAGAAGCAGTTCAGACTTCGTTAGGGAAAAGTCCAACAGACTCGAGGTCGGACTGTGGAGCGCGATCGCCCGGTGAGCCGTCACCGGTCCCCAGCGTAGAACCAGAAGATGCTATTCTGATTGTAGAGGATTTCGATCGGACCCGTACGTGTTGAGTGTGACATTAATACATTCGCGTCCTATGTGCTCACTTTCGTCTAGAATATACTGGTCTCCGTTCCAATGAGAGTTTCCTTCTTTGTGTTCAAGATGTTTTGCATTCCACTACCCGAAAGAGGGTCCTAGAATCAACCAACCGAAGCTCGTTGGTATGTCATATATCTGGTAGCTGATGTTACTAGTGAGGTTGCTTTTATTAACGCCGTGTTAGGAAATGGCCAACATCGTCAGACCACCGCCTGTTCACAGTAAAGAGTCAATCGAGGCAATGAAGGCGTTCCCTCCTCAAGAGATCGCTGCATTCCTTGTTTCCACATTCTTTTATTACGTCGAAGCAACGTTCTTTTATTGCGACAGAGAGTGGCTCTATACTACTCTCAACAGCTATTACACCGACACCTCATCCGGAAGTGCGATTGACGATGCATTTATTTGCTTCGCTTTGCTTGTCTTTGCCTTCGGTAGCCAATTTGCGCATTTGAGATCCCGACCTACATCCAACGACCCGCTTCCTATAGACCCTGGAAAGAACTTCTACGATAGTGCTCAGAAGCTTATTCCAAGGGTCATTGACACATGTACTCTGAAGGGAGTCCAAGTGTGTCTACTGGCAGGTCTGTACAAATTGCCATACAACCTGCCAGACACGTCCTATCTCTACCTTGGAATGGCTATGAGGATGTCAATTGCCAGTGGGCTGCACCGCAAGACATTAGCCGTGACATTGGATCCTCGAATTACGGAAGTTCGCAATCGTTTATGGTGGAGTGTTTATTCTATAGACAAGTATGGCACATCCATCCTTACGATTGACCTCAGCTTACGTCGTCTTAGACGCACAAGTATTGCTTTAGGTCGGCCTTCTAGCATCGCAGAAGACGCGATCGATGCACCCTTTCCTAAACATCATCCGTCGTTGGACAACCTCGAATATCAATCGAACTTGCAACATCAAATTGAATACTTGAAGTTAACGCGTATCATTTCGAAAATCGTACAAAACATGTAAGCGAAGGCCTCAAAAGCGATTGTTTGATGCTGACGATCACATAAGTCCTCTCGAATCAAAGCCACCATGCATCAAAGATCTGTCAGAACAATTGAAGGAGTGGCGATCTCAGCTTTTCTCCAATCTCCACCCCAACGACCTGCTTCCCAGCGAACGGAATTTTCGTACGACCGTTCACCTGCATATACACTATCACTGGGCGTGGATCCTCATGGGCCGTGCCTCCCTTCTCCAAGTCTCGCGTGAACGCATTCAAGCTTTATCGGACTCTGCAACCCCCGCACCGGAACAGCCCCAAAGTCGGACGGACCTTGCGACCCTCTGCGTCGACGCTGCGAAGGCGACGATTGAGCTAATACTGGTCTTGAAGAAACACAACTTGCTCTGCCGCTTCTCGTTCACAGATCATCATGCTTCAGCTGCAGCATTGATCATATTGATACTCCATAGTATCCTGCAGCATGGAGACGAGACGAGCAGAATCATAGACGATGGCGTTGACATGTTACGTTACATGGCACATGGAGGCTGCCGTGGAGCTTCGTCGGATCTTCATACTATTGAGCAACTCAGGCGGCTTGCTTCCGACTTGCGCCAGAAAATATACCGAGGCCAAGGCGGGCTTTCAGTTGGAGGCTCCATGCAACCATCATCTATAACGGCCTCATATCAAGCGTGGGTGAACTGGATGTCAGAGCAAGAATCATCGAGAAGTCATGAATCGCGGCCGGACAATTTGTGTTCTCAACTCGATCCAGGAACTCTGCCGAGCGATTCTGGGATACGCGCTCACGAAAGCCCTCTCATGTACGAAGTCGGCCCTAACAACGACACGCTTGACACTCTGGACTATCGCTGGCTTGATCAAGGAAATGTTAACTGGAACTTCGATGTATTTAACGGATCAACTTTTCAAGGAGAGGTTCCTCGAGGATTTGAGTGGGATGACGGCCGGCTAGACGTACTGGATATGACGCAGCTTCTTGGAGGCTACACCGGGCAGACTACCTATGGCCAGGGTTGAGCATACTCTGACCATGATGTATCGCGCAGGCAAAATCACAACTCCAGGCAAAGACATCAGATTCGATCTAAGGAATCCTATAATCTTTATTCTATAAACGGCCGTACCTCGTGAGCATCCTCATCAAGCAAGCTCCATCTACTCTTACACACTCTACCGTCTTTAATGACAGCCAAGAGATTTCTCTCCGGCTGTGCTAAAACCGATATGTCTTCCAAAGGATTTGCGTTCAGAATCAGCAAATCCGCAGCGAAGCCTTGCTTGATCTGCCCCAGAAAGTTTTCCTGCCGCATCATCCTGGCGGGGGTGATGGTCGCACTTCGTAAGATTGCCAGAGGAGGTAGCACTTTGCTTCGGATGGTGAACTCATCGAGCTGGCGTACGCCGAGATGTCCGAGAAGATCAGAACCGTAGCATATGTTTACTCCAGCGTCCGCAGCAATTTTAAGACCTCGCAGCCCTGCCACGTATACCTCGGCATTTTTCTCCATGGACTCGGCTGGCATATATCCAGCAAACTTTTCATCGCCCATCGCGGTGTAGGTTACCAAAGTTGGGGTGAGATATGCGCCCTTCTGGGCCATCAACTCTGCTGTCTCCTTATCGATCATGTTACCATGCTCGATACCCATTACCCCGTTCTCCATCGCTTGCCGAATGGATTGCGGGGTATACGCATGAGAAGTCACATACGTCTGGCTGTTTTTGGCGACTGTTGTAATGGCGCTGATTTCTTCCGACGTGAACTGAACATTGTCGATACGGTCTGTCGGGCTGCAAACACCACCTCCCCCCATGATTTTGATAAAGTCGGATCCGGTTCGAATGTTTTCGCGCGTTGCGCGCAAACACTCTGGTACACCATCGCAGATAAAGGATGGGAAATTCGATGAGCCGCCGCCGCAGCATTCAATGTTTGAGTGGTCGTGGGAGCCTCGCGTATCTCCGTGCCCGCCTGTCTGGCTTAGGAAATTGCCCGCGATAAATAATCTAGGTCCCTGCACGAGGCCATCTTCGATCGATTGCTTGAGAGACAATTGCGCTCCGCCGCAATCTCTTACTGTGGTAAAGCCTCTATCGAGCATTTGCTTACAAACATGCGCGTGTCTGTAGGCTGATGTCGTTGGGTTCAGAGACTTAGTATCTTGCCATTGTATCTCGCCAGGCACTGCAATGATATGGACATGGCAATCGAACAATCCCGGACAGAGGTATTTCCCTCGAAGATCGACTCGTGTCGCGACGTCAGCAAGATTGGACGATTTGACCATGCCTTCGGAGCTGTGTTGAAGCTCGACCTGTTCGATTCGTCCCCCGGACAGTTTGACAGTAGCATTCTCGTGAACTACGCCCGCCTCGACATCCACTAGGTTGACATTGGTGAAGATATAGGCTTTTTGTGCTGGAGGTGTCCACGGCTTAAGCAGTTGTCCGTGGTACGAAGATGCAGATACCATGGCGTCAAGGGATATGCTCGGTAACAAATGCGTGAGAAACAGCGGAAAATGGGTGATGAAAGCCAGGAAAATAAATCGATATCACTTCTACTATCTTAAGGCACCAGATCATGCCGGATTACCATTCTGCTTACTCAATTGATAGTCAATGATTTTTCCGAACGTTGTGGATATCGAACGGGTCTGCTCCGTGCTGTTGTTTGTCTCCCATCCGAGCGGGTATTGGAAGTTGGAGCTTACCCGTGGTCAGGGTACAGATACCCGACCCGAGTCATGCTCTAGCATCGGGTATATGTGCTATCTTTGAGAAGTAGGCCCTTCTAGCTAGTGAGCTGCTAGCTTTGTGGATAACTCCCCGCATTCCAAGCTCCCGGCAAAACCAAACTTCGTGTGTTCCGGCGCCACAGGTGTGGAAATGTATCGTCGCATACCGTCGTGCTCAGCGCGCTATGCAGAATACGATAGCGGCACATTTATCTCTCCAGGATTCACTGGGTAGATAGTATCGCGTGTCTGACTTGTGTTCGGCACAGGCGGCGTCTAGCTTCGCGCGGCTTCAATCCCTGCCAACGTTCGGCAAAGTAGCCTGATAGCGACGATACGCCTTATCCTGACTATCCATATATCTTACTTGTCGTGACCAGAACCTTGAAGTTGTTGGACAGTAAGACTGTACTTCAACGGATTCCAACATTTCTCGTCAATCTCGAACTTGCCTTCGACGCCAACATGGCAAGTCACATCGCCAGGGATGAGAAGGCACAGCCAGATACCGCCTTGGCCAATGACACTCAGTCAAATTCAGAGACCGAAGATCTCGCTATGTTGGCTTTGGAAAAACGCGTCCTCAAAAAGACTGACATGGTAGTTTTGCCAATGGTAACGCTCCCAGTGCTACTTTTGCGATGACACAAGCTTATGACCTCGATCGATACAGATGTGCTTCGTTTTCTTCTTCCAGTGTAAGATCAGGATTCTCGACCAAGGAACATGTCTCTGACGAATGAGCAGATCTAGACAAGCAGAGCCTGAGCTATGCATCAGTGTATGGTCTTATCACTGACCTGAACTTGAGGGGCAACCAGTTCGCATGGACCTCTTCCATATTTTACGTTGGACAGCTTGCTTCTGAGTTCCCGTTCATCTACCTCATGAGCCGCTTCAGACTGTCTAAGTTCGTTGGAATTACAATGTAAGTCCATTATCGCCAGATTATGCATCCGATGACTAAGTTTCAACAGTGTTGTCTGGGGCGCAGTCTGCATGTGCCTTGCCGCTCCAAAAACATACCATCAGTTCTTAGCTGTGCGCTTTTTTCTAGGAGCAGCAGAAGGGGCAGTCAGTCCAGCCTTCATCACCATTACAAGCATCTGGTACAAGAAAAGCGAGCATGCGCTACGTATAGGGTACGTCGCGAGAAAAGAGGGACAGAGACGGCAAGCTAACAGAATGTGTGATAGTTGCTGGATTACATGCAATGCTCTTGCGCAAATCGTCGGCTCTCTACTCATGTACGGCATCGGAGAACACAACAAATCATCGCTGGCATCTTGGAGACTCATGTTCCTTGTCTGTGGGATATTCACCTCGCTCTGCGGAGTAGTTTTCTATTTCGTCATGCCCGACGGTCCGGATACGGCTTGGTTTTTGACCGCGGAAGAGAAGGTCGCTGCTCGTCATCGGCTCTCTGAAGATCACGACGGCGGCGACAAGACATCCTTTTCCATGGCACAACTCAAGGAGGCTGCATTCGACTTCAAGACATATGCTGCGTTTGCTTTCGGTATCCTCGTCACTGCTCCGGCTCCAGTGCTCACTGTAAGTGAGCCCTTTGAAGACATCATACTCGCACTAACAAGTCTTCTTAAAAGTTCGCGTCTTTGATCATCAAACAACTCGGCTATACCTCCGGCGACACTCTACTGCACGGATCGCCCTCCGGAGCGGTTCAGATCGTAGCCATATGGATTGGAATCACCGCGTGCTTGATATGGCCCCAGAAACGTTCTCTTGTCATAATCGGACTCGTTACGATACCCCTAGCCGGATGTATTATGCTGCTGGTACTACCTCTACAAGGCTGGCCCATCATCATAGCGGCTTGGCTCGGCTCTTGCATCTCGAGTATCTTCTCGCTGACCATGAGTTTAAACGCGTCTAATATTCGGGGCAACACGAAGAGATCCGTCGTCAATACAATGTATTTTGTTGGTTACTGTTCTGGCTGTATTGGATTCCCACAGCTGTGGACGACGGAGACTGCGCCTCGGTATACTGCCGGCTTGATTGTTTCGGTGGTGGATTGGATTCTTCTCATGTTGCTTATGGCGTACTATTGGTACCACGGATGGAGTGAGAACAAGAGGAGGGACGAACTTGAGAAAGAGTCGACTGTCACAGTATACGAGGCTGGTGCAGATGTTACAGACAAGCAGGACTTGACTTTTAGATATTCTCTATAGTTGTCGGTAGTATTGTAGAAGAAATGTTGTTCTTCGCAGAGAGATCGCAATCCTCAGAGTCTGGCAAAAGGTCCTACCCGCCAATTTGCCCACTGGTGGGTAGGCATCCGTGTGCTAATCGAGAACGTAGAGCGGCCCGATGGCACCTCGGAATTGCAGCCTGTCCGCGGCGAGGGCCTCGAACCTGCTCCATTCTTTCACTCTTTCGAGGGTGTGAGCAGAGCCAATGTGACATACCCGCGAAGGCCGTGTGCTCCAGAGCGACCGGCTCCCCTCGAAAGCCCCAACCTTTACGTTGTGCCCATATCGACGTCACGGATAGTGGAGACGGTATGGCAGATGTGGTGCACGACGGGTTGCGCAACGTCGCGTCGCGGTGTCGCAGGCGTTGCGGCGCGTGTGCGGGGCGGTCGGTGAAGGTGAAGGTGGAGGTGAAGTGTCGGGAGATGATGCGGCGAGACGTCGCTGGTTGTCGAGCGCTGTGTCAGTGCGGGTGGGGCATGGCCATGGAGAGCAGCAGCAATGATGAGAGATGTGTCGCTTGGTATTGAGCGTTATGCCAGCTTACCTAGGTAGGCACACGGCCGTCGGCGGCGGTGGAGGATCGAATCTGGGGCCGCATGATACGGTGCCAGGCGTTGGGCACATACGGGTCGTACCAAAGTCCCGCGTCCTGGATGTCCACATTATCGGAACGCAGACTGTACGGCGCCCTAGATAGGAGTCTGACTCATATGAGCGTGGCGAACATTCTCAAATTGTGAGTCCTTTGATATTGAACACTGACTTGATGAGTTTCCAGGTCGCTCAGCGGTATTGGTGATGCAATACTGTGACTCACGACGCACGTAACCAATCACTGATCGGCGAGGGCCAATGGGGGTCCGCGAGTACCAGTGTCTGCCATCGCGTCTCAAAGCGTGAGTGCAGTCACACCCAACCGGCTTCGTGATGCAGCATACTATATAAACCTCCTATCTCGTGCCGATACTTCCTTCCTCAACCATGGCGTCCAAAAAGTTCGCGCACTGGAATGGTTTCCCCTTCATGACGGCCCCGCGAACGAAATACTACTCTGGCCAGACACAATCCCCGCTTTTCCGACTATCCCGCGAGATTCGGGATATGATCTATGGATACTACGCTCTAGGAGAAGGCGACAATGGCTACCATTATGACAGTGAGACTGGGAAGATGCTCGAGCAATCACCGTCATCAGAGCCTAAACACGTTGTTCGCCTTGGTCTCATGATTACGTATCGCATTGCTGCTGAGGAGCTCAAGAATTGCGCTTTCCGCAAGGTGCAGTTTAGTCCTCATCTTTCGCAGGATGATGGGAAGGCGTTTTTAGGGCTTGCTTCGAGGGCTGGGCGGTTTCAGTGCTGTAAGTGCTCCATCTATACTCGAGCCTAGAGTGTTTCCCTTTCACTAACACGGAATATCATAGTGTTGAGATTGATAGACCGTCAAAAGCAACGGATGTTAATTACGGTGTGCGAACTGCTAGAGCCTGAAGACTGGCTTGATCTGCATCACCGGTTCCCATCAGTTCAAGTGTTGCGTCCGACACAGATATACAACGGCCTACATCTGGTTCCACTAGACTTCAGCGACGCTCTTCAACACATCCTCATTCTGGCAAAAACCCGCAATCCGCCCAAATTCGCGGAGCTGGCCTGTAGTGTGTTTGGTTTGGGCAGGTGCCCATTGGCTACTTGGAACATCTCTGAACCCCACAACAACTACTTTGATGAAGGCGCATTGTACAGCGTCTTTTCCTGGCATCCCGACTCGTGGATACTACCTAGCAACGAAGATCTAGCTAAGCTAGAGGCTCTCATCTGTTTACCTGTCGACTCAGACTTTCGTCACCCGATGGCGGAGGATGGGACATTCTACTTTGAAGACATATCAGACCACGTCCGGGCCTCTGGAAGCAGTCTCTGGTACTTCTCGGCGGCATCTATCGCGATCGACTTTTGTGAGTAATTCTTCAAACCCTCCCAACACTCATCTCCATTATGGCTCTCTTTATTATGGTATAACTTCCCACTAACAAGCTCAGTGAAAAAAACACCTGAACAGCAGAGACACAATATGCGAACGATCATCCTCAACGAATCCACAGACACCGTCTCCCATTCTGCACACCATGCGCGCGGATTCATACCCTTCTGTCGAGAAAATCCCCAACTTCGCATAGAAAGACGAATCAGACTTTGCGCGCTCGAGTTCACCAGAGAAACTTCAGGGCCAGGCCATTGGGTCATGGAATACAGTTTTCGAGAAATGATGCCCTGGATTGAAGCGGCTTTGGAATTACCCGCGCTTGGGATGTCTGCTTCCTCCTTCAGTCTGGTGATTGAAGGTGGACACGATGCTTGGACTTTCTTCAAATACGCGGCGGCTTTACATGAGGCGACCCTGGAGTACCATCGACGGAACGGGTATGAGATACCAACTCGGTCCGATGACCCTCATTCGATACCTTACAGGAATTGGTGGGACTTTCCACAAAATTTCTCAAAGACTGTACGAGATATCACGGAAGGCACATCCTGTATCAAATTCGATGGGGACGCGGGCGACCCTTGGGACACTGACCTGTTCTTCTATGAGCGCAATGACTGGACCGATCCGCAGTGGTTAGCTGATTGGAATAACAACGTCTTCTATCCCAGTATGTCTTTAGACATCTGTAGGGTTACACGCAACATTTTTCACAGGTCAAGCAAAATAACGATACATCGAACGGCCGGGACTGTGGAGAGAGGCTTATCGACCACGCAGTCGTGTGAGGAATGGTGGACGGGCTGCGTTGAAGATTGAGATGAGGACTGCCATACGACTCCCGTGAGTATTGTAGCATACTCGCAAAGCAAACAATATTGTCTCATCATTCTCTTCTCCATGTTCCAGTAATCTGAAAAGTAGGTACCATGTTACTTCTTATAGGCAGCTCGATAACAAATCTATATCCCTTTAATACCCAATTTCCTCAAGTATTTTTAAATGCCTGCAATGTCGTCAGAGACCTTCATTGTAAGATCAAGATCGGATGTGCTAATGTGAGCGCGCTCACTTCTACAGGAGCGGATTATTCGCCATAGCTCGATGTTGAAGTGATCTTAGACATTCTCTTCGGTTTCAATCCCTGAAACCCTCGGAAGAATATATACACTGCTGCATACTATAAAAGAAGGTGTTTAGGAAATACACCTGCATTGCAATTATGTACTGCGTTACTAACCTGTGTCGTGCTCACATCTCTGCAAAAGCATATTCAACAAAACAACAGCCACTGCGTCTTTTGTCTCCTGCATTCGTCTCATCGTGAGCTTCGAGCGAGGGCGTGTATCATCAAAGCTATGGCAACCATACCGTATACCAAAGTACAATCTCAATAATTAGTCCGACCCAGAACCAGACCGCAGTCTGAGTCAAAGGCGCACTCTATTCGTTCTGAGGGCGTATATTGTAGTCAAATCAAGACTCAGTTCGGACAGGATACTCTTGCGCATCGCATTTGACAACTTGTCACAGTGACGCCGATAGCCATATCGAGGCGCGTTCAGTCGTTGATGGTGAGAGACTAGAATTTGTTGTCGCGCGTCATCGGGGATGGAGGCGGCGGGATTGGCTTAGCGCCACTACGCTAACGATCAGTCCCGCCTCCACCCACTTGCACCCTTCTCCTCTGCAGCCACACATGCGTTTGGGTTGTAACAGTCCCTACATCGCGCGACAATCTCGGTCACTTCGGACGAACGCATAAGATTGAGTAGTGGACGGTTCTCAGAGCAGCGCTGGGGAGGCATGAGTCATCGTCAGAGTCACAGCGAGGAGTACGGGCGGCTCTCGCTTAGCCAATCAGCGGTACCTTCTCGCACGCGCGAACCATGGTCCTTCACAGTGTCCCAGTCTTTAGGATTTCGAGTGCAGTCATGCACAACCTCTTCCTGGACGGACGCTTCTTAAAGCTTCCACATATATACCTCATATCTCCCTCTTGCCTCTCATATTGCTTCCGCCAATGGCGTCCAAGAAATTCGCCCACTGGAACGGGTTTCCGTTCATGACTGCGCCGAGGACAAACTATTACTCTGCACAGTTGCAATCGCCTCTCTTTCGCCTGCCTCGAGAAGTCCGGGATGCTATTTACGAACAATATGTACTCGGTGAAGACGGTTACCATTACGACAGCGACACTGGAAAGATGCTCTACTCGACTGAGCCAAAACAAACGGTCCGTCTGGGTCTCATCATCACCTGTCGAATTGCGCACGAAGAGCTCAAGAACATGGTCTTCCGGAAACTGCATTTCAGCGCGCATTTATCGCATAACGACGGGCGTTCTTACAGGGGGCTAAGTTCTCGAGCAGGTCGTTTCCAACGCAGTAAGTATCCGCGCGGTTATAGCATCAAATGATCTCACAACTAACGCGTCATTACTATAGTGCTTCGATACGTGGAGCGTCAAAAGCGGAGAATTTTGATCACCGTCTTCGAACTGCTACAGCCCGAAGATTTCCTCGATCTATATACTCGCTTCCCTTCGGTCGAAGGATGGTTTAACGAACCGTTGCGCCAATCAGGTAGGGCTTGGAAGTTCCTAATCTTATGGTACGCGTGCTAATCTCGCGTCTCCCAATCTGCAGCGACACAACAAAGAGACGCACTCGCAGAGTCGGAGCAACGTGCAGCACAGGCGTTCAGCGACGCTCTCCAGCACGCTTTAGTATTGGCCAAGAATCGCAACCCCCCCGAGTTCGCAAGACTCGCATCCAAAACGTTCGGCGCACGTCTGTGCCCCGTTCCTATCGCGCGATCCTTTCCGGAGTTCAACTACTTCGTGAACGGTGCGTTGCTCGACATTTTTTCCTGGAGTCCTAAGCCGTGGCATCTTCCAAGCGATGTCGAGCTGGCTAGGCTAGAGTCTCTTATGTGCATGCCTGGGAATGACGACGACAGCTTACCGACGAGGGAGAATGGATTCTCATATTACCTGGACTCGACCACTCATCTTGAACTAGCGACAGAGCGATGGTGCTTTTCTGCAATATCAATCGCCATCGACTTCCGTAAGTACGAATCCTCCAAACATCACGTTTGATATATGGACGCACCATCCTAGTATAGGTCTTCGCTAACAACCCCAGTACAGGAAATGCCTCAGCAGAGAAGACAGAATCTACGCCTGCTCAAAATTAACGAAAGTTCCAAAGCTGTTTCGCGGCCTGCCAACCACGCTTGCGGCCTAATACCTTTCTGTCTCGAGAATCCAAAGCTCCGCGTGCAAACACGCATCAGCCTGTTCACCAATCTTCTGCCCGAGGGTTTCAGCTCGTCCACGGTTTGGAATGAGGATGCCACATCGCTCTTTGTACCAGAGTGTATCCGAGTGATCATGCCCTGGATTGAAGCAGCCCTGGATTTGGCCAAGCTTGGGATGCCTGCGGGATCTTTCCAGCTAGTCATTGATGGAACGACGAGAGAAGCTTGTGAGCTCTGGAAAGTATTGAAACACGCGGCAGCCCTACAAGAAGCTCTACTTGAGTACCTTCGACTGAAAGGAACCCGTCCAGGTGCTAGGCCCCTAGATCCCCACTACACGGATTGTTGGAGCTTTCCGGATTACTTTCCAAAAATCATACGAGACATCGTAGAAGGCACGTCGGTCATCAAGTTCGATGGACCTGTGGGTGAGTTGTGGGATCCTGAGGTGGTGTTCTTTATACGGAAGAATTGGACTTATGAGCAGTGGGATCAAGACTGGCAAGCCCATGTCTTTCTCTACGAGATTCCTACGAACTTCTACCGAGACGCAGAAGATCGCTACAAGATGAGACCGCGATTGTCTGCGTCAGGACGACGGATGGTCCTAGCTGGCCTACGTAGCTCAAACAACACTCAGTCGAGCGCCTGAGGGGTGTATCGACCTTGTAGCACCTGGCGCCGAAAGCCGACATACTTCGCTCCATATTCAGCAGCATACCAGCGATCTATGCAGCCAGATCTAGGATATAATATCTATCCCATTCTACCTGCCATCGTATCCCTTAACCCCCTTGACCCCACTCCCCTCCACCTTCCCACTCGCAACCCCCAAGCTCCGCTCAAACGCCCCCGTAATCCCCATCTGATCCGTCAACACACTGACCATATCAAACCCTCTCTCCACATATCCCCTCGCATCCTCGCCCGAGTTACAATACATAGCCACCTTCTTCCCCTCCGCATGCGCCGCCTCCTTGATCGTCTCAATCGCCTCCTCCAGCTCCTTATCCATAGTCGGAGTCAAAATAGGATGACCAATGTTGTTACCAAGATCAAAGGGCCCGATCAGCAAACAGTCAACGCCGGGCAAGGCGGCGATTTCACGGCAGCAGGCTAGCGCCGACGCGGTTTCTATCTGCACGATGGTGAGGAGCGAAGTGTTTGCGTGGCGCAAGTAGTACGTTAGTGGTTCGTTTGAGAAACACTGTGTTGGTAGCGGTGAGCCGAAGCCGCGCGTTCCTTCTGGCGGGAATTTGGCGGAAGAAACAAGTTTTTTGGCGTCGTCGACGGTGTAGATGAGCGGGACTATGACGCCGTGGGCGCCGCTGTCGAGGGCGCCTGGGGTGGTGTTAGAAGCCACTTGGAGATCTTGGGATGGAGGAGAAGGTGGCAAAGGGTAACTTACGTTTTACCATCCAGGGTTCGTTGGCGGCGATGCGGACGAGGGGGCTTACGCCCGCGTGGGCGATGGCGGTTACGGCTTCGTGCATTTGGCTGTCGTTGATGTTGCCGTGCTCGGTGTCGACGCATATCCAATCAACGCCTGAACGGGCAATTGCCCGCGCGTGATTCGTGCCTGGAAGCATCTGTCACACCATCAGCCTTGAGATCAAGTCAACTTCGCGTTGTGTGTTGTTCACCTGCCATCCTCCGAAAGTCGGCCCTCCTTTCTGGAACGCCTTGTATACCCGGCTTGCTTCTTGCAGGGTGTT